TGATGACAATGTGGTGATTTGTTTTTCTTGTTGTTTTTCTTCTTTTTACTGCGTAGTTATTTCTTCTAAAGCTATTTTTTTTTTGTATAATATTTCAATTAAGTTTATAATAATTCAATTAAATTTAATTTTTTTTATTATAGGTTATTAATTGTTGTGTTGAACAAGGCGGTAAAAACTTCATATTTGAAAGGTTTGTGATTGCATGCAATGCGGTCTTTCGAGTCAGTATTTGTTGCGTAATAGTATAAATTTTCAATATTTTTTAGAATATATAAAGTTTTAATTTAATTTAATTAGAATAATCATTTGCGAAATAGTCTGTGTTTGTTTACTGCTTATAAGTGAACGTGTTAATAATCTTTTTTCTTTTTTTTCATTTTTTTCATTTTCAATATTAGAGTTAGTGTATATTAAAAGAATAAATCATTCATCACAAGAGGATCATCCAGCAAAAAGGTAACTTTAATATTTTTTATCCTATTTAAATTTTTATTTTTTTTCCTTATCTAAATTTGTATTCAAAAAAATATTAAAATTAGAAATTTGAAATGTTTATACTTTAAGTTTTTGTTTTAAGATTTTAATTATTATTATTATAATTTTAGAAATTCAATCTTTAATATTATTAATATTATTAAATATAATTTCAATATAATTATTTAAAATATAATTTATAATAATTTCATTTATAATTATTTCAATTTTTTAATTTGCATTTTAAATTATATATGATGTAAAATATAAAATTATATAATGTTTTTATTGCAGATATTTCCTTCTTTTTACATCCTTTGTTTTATTTGATGACAACCTTTTTGATGACTTCTCCTAGGTCCATGATATTTGTAATTGTTCATCGCATCTAATGGTGAGTTGCATGTATTTTTTTTCCTCTGGTTATTTAATTATGTCGTAGGATGAAAGGTCCAAATCGACACGGATGACCAGTTGTATTATTTAAAATTTTCTATGAGCATAATGACCATAGGTATTTATTATACTTGTGAGTAATAACTTTTTCTATGCCTTATTTATTTAGTTAGGATAGGTCTTCTTGTACACGTTTTTAAATTATAATATTAATATATAATATTAATATATATGATTAATTCTGTACTATAAATGTAAATTTATAGTACTAATATGAAATTAGTAATTATTATTAGCAATATTGATAATTAATTTAATTATTGACAATTATAATAATTGCTACAATTATTTATAAAATTAAAGTAAACATGGATATTTATAAGAGATAAATATCAATGACATATTAATAAAATATAAATAATAAATATTGAAATAAATTAATTAAATATTTTATAATAACAAAATCAAATATTGTCTAAAATAATACTTGATACAAATAGTTATAAAATATAATTTCCATAATCATTATAATAAATAATTATTTTCATTTTCTTTTTCATAGTGATATCTTGAACAATTTAATTAAATCTTAGGATAATATATTATATTATATATTATATCTTAATTCTTCTGTATAAAAATTATTTTATTCTTTCCATGCAAAAATGTAAAATTAATGTGCAAGAAGACACTTTGTGACAGGTAGATTTTGGAATTAAAGTAACAAGTTTTTAATTCCTCTTTTTGAAATTATACTTTGATGAAGAAATCGCCTGAGATTATTCCTATTATATTTTTATTAAATTTTAATCTCTTTTCCATAAATATATTGCAGAATGTCAATTTTCTTTATTCATGTTAGAATTTTAATATTTAAATTAATAAAATCATAATAATTTAAAATAAAATGAAAATATATAAAATAAAAAATCATTAGCTCGTTAGATCTAAAGTAATAAACTAATACTCTTTTTAGCTTAGGATTTTCAGATTTAATCCTTTCCATGTCCATTGTCAGGACCTCATTCATATGCCCAGGTGTTATTTGGGTGAGGGAGAGACGATCGGCATGATGATCTTTGTTCATAAACTAATTAAAATTTTTCAGCAACTGATAATGCGTTAGTGTATCGTGCGCGACGTAATTTCCACATTGTACATGTGTGTGTGTGTGTGTATGTGGATAGGTTGTGTGGAATTACGTCGTATTGCGAATTATAAACAGTATAAGAATTATAAATAATAATTTTATAAATCTTATTGTCAAATAATGATATTTAATTTCGTATTATCTATTCTAGTATCTTTATTTCTTTAAAAATTATACATATTTTTCAAAATTATATTATTCGCAATTAAAATTATATACAAGTTTTTATCGCGTTGGTCACGCAATGGTCATTAATCATTGTCAGTCGATTTCAGAAAATTGGTACGTAAAATTAGAGTGTACGAGTAGTGTGCCAAGCTCAGGTGTCGGAGGCGTCCCGGGACGTTTCCCCTAGTGTAGGCTTTTGCGCCCGGGTATTATGCGTGAGAATCGTGGGTGTGCTGGTGTGCCTGTTTTGCCATTTTTTAAATATAGGATTAGGTAGGATAGGTAGTATAATTCTAGTATGTCTGTTAATTATAAGTAGGTAGTGCCGGGCAGGTTGTTACAGTCTCTGATCGGCTAGATGCGTTTTCGCGTGACCTGTTTCAGGGAATAAAATTTGAGAAATCGAGGATGAAGCTGAGACGAATGGAGGACAATGCCATTCGTCTCTGGTTTTGTTCATCGATTTTTCGAATTTCGCGGTCGCGGTTGTGATTTGCTTTCGAAACGAACGTTGCGCTCGAGATTCTGTGCATGTACGAAGAATGATCATTGCGATCGTTGATCGTCCATGTGCAATTAGTTTCCGTGATTTAGTACCTTTTTTTTTCTTTTTTTCTTTGATTTGCGATTAGTGAATCTCGAGCCTAAATTTAAGTTTCAGCGGGCATTGCGCCCGAAGGAGGAAGACTGAAGAGGCCCGACAAACTGTCACGAAGAGGGCTGCAACGAATGGGTTCTCATCTTTTGGATCTTGTCTGGATCCAAAGAATGGGAAGTCATTGTTATTACTTTGTCATTGTGCTCGTTTTAGTAATACGTAGTATATGTTGTATCGTCTTGGCCAATTTGCATGCTGGCCTATCATTTATCCAGTCATCATGGGCAAATCGCGGTTTTGCATTAGTGTTGCCATTGATTAATAACGGGTTGAATTAGAGTTGCGATAAAAGATCGCGTTTGCTATAGCGTTGCGTTGAAAAAAATATCGCGGTTGCTTTTAATTATTTTCATTATGAATTAATATATTTTTTATTTTTTTAAATATAAATTTGAATTTATTCTACATTTATCATATTTCATTAATTTTCTTGTATAGTCTGTATTCCTCTTCAGCTTTCAACGAAATGGATTACATCTCATCATCAGATAAATATTCTAATTTTTTTATTAGGTTAGGTTGGGTAGATTATAATAGGGTAGGTTGTAAAAAACATAGGATTTATAAACGATGTTTTGTTCTTCATTTTATTAAAAAAAATCTCGCCTTTCCTATTCTGTTTCCAAACCAATAGTTTTCCTATTTTTTAAGGCAATATGATCATCCTGTCATCCTTAACTTCCTCATTGTAAGCAAATACTTGATACTTGATAGCTACGTGATTTTATTCACTTGTTATCATTGATATATCCTGATTTGCATTTTTCTCTTGTCACATATGGTTTATCTCGTATCAAATTTTTTTAAAATTGTGTGTCGTCAATGTGAATGTAGATATGGTTATAAAGAGAATTTGTTATAAATGTTTAATATCAAAATGTTTAATTTTTATATAGGTAGGGAAAAGAGTTTTTTTAGAATAAGTAAAATATTAATGTTATATTTTTAATTTAAGTTTGTTTCAAGATTTTTTTACAGGGGAAGAAGATTTTGTATGATATTGATTAAAGAAAACGTTTTTAAAATTAACATGTACATGTACAATCAAGATACTACTTTATTAAATAAAGTAGTACATTGTAGAAAAGTAGATACTGTAGATAAATAGATGGATGTAGTGCTATTTTGGGAAGCTTATTTGGCTTATTTTTTTCTTTTTTTTTTTTTTTGCCCATGCTTTTTCTATCAATCATTTTTCATTTTCATGCCGATGGAAATGTAAAATATTGATAGAAAGTCTCTTGATTTAAATTTTATTTTCAAGTTTAGTCTTCCGTGCCCGTTTTTTTTACGGTTCCTTTTATTGCTTGTGTTGCAGAACGATGAAAAGTTTGAACGTTTTGCAAACATAATTTTCTATTGAAATCTAATTTTTTACATTCAAAAAATATTTTACATATAAATTAATGCTTCATATAACTTAACGAAATATATGCTCATGCAGATAGATAGAGATAGAGGAATTAGCGCCATCTTTAGAGTGCCGTAAATGAAACACATAGGCAAAGAGAAAAAAATAGTGGCAAAAAGGATAGAGATAAGGTAAGAATTGAACATGAGTACCATCTCTTGAAAGCGACAGACATCTCTTAGAAAGAAATATCTTTCTGAAAGCATTGAAAAGATGGCAACAGTACTTAATTCTTATCCTCTTTGGAGAAAAATCTTCTTCTGTGATTCATTTTCATTTTAGAATTGTTGACTTTTGTGTTACATTCCTTTTTTATGTTTTTATATTTATTTATTATTTATTTATTACAATACAAAATTTTTCTGTTCTTTTAGATTTAGTTAATTTTAATGTTATTTTTTTTAATTTTTAACTTTTTTTAAATTTCCTTAACTTTTAGATTAAATAATTCTTCTATACTGGAAATATTTTTATTCTTTTAGTTTATGAGAAATAGCAATTGAGTTTTATGTTACATTACTTTCTTATATTTGTATATTTATTTATTTTTTGTATACTTTCTTTTTATGTTTTATTTATTATTTATGTATTACAAGATTAAATTCTTTTCTTATATGTTACAACTTTGTTAGATTTAATTAATTATTATGCAATATATAAAAGAATAAACTGTTGCAATATATATAAGCAATGNGTGGGTCTCCAATTCGCAGCAACCTCCAAGCGGTGAGACTTGGGAAATCATTATTATTTAATATACAATATATAATCATGTCATTGTAATATCAATGATTCAATTATATATTTTATAAGAAATAATATGAGCTAATTGGCTGCGAGCGCGATTATAATTTTATATAAATTAAAAATTGTGTTTGGAAAATAACTAATGTTCTTTTTTTAATTCATAAATGTATGAAATTTGCATATAGATTTTTACTTTTTTAATAATTTAATTTTATGTATTTATTTATTTTGTGTCATACTAGATGGCGTAAGGAGTATTATAATCTTTTTTGAAGTCGGTATTTCAGAATATGTTGCACAAAGTTCCGTAAGATGTCACGTTTATTCTCTTTCTCGTGTTCTGCTATTATCTTGCTATTTGCTAACTAACGTTGCAATCTTATTCTATATCAAATCGGTAATGTTGAAAATGACAATAAAATGGAATGAATTTCTAGTTCCCAAGATATGGGACAAAAAATGCATTGTATGTTAGATCTATTCTTTACTTCATCTGTGCTTTTAGGCAATAATATTGTTTATACTTTATTCAAAAATTGTCATGTTGTTTTTTTATAATGTTTATACTAAGATTAAGTTTTATTTTTTTATTAAGTGTTGTTTGCATAGGTAATTGTGAAGAACAATATTGTACTATTGGTAACACAGAAGATTGTGTTGAGGAAAAAAAAGTTAATATTTATAAAGGTAATCATGAACAGAATGTTTAATAATTCTTATTTAATAATTTTCATACATTTTTTCTTTTAGTAGGTTTAAATAAACAATATAGTAAATATTATAATGCAATTGAAGAAGCAGAAAAACATTATAGAATTTGTAATAATATTAACAATAGTTGTTTCAAAAATGTTATTATAAATGATCTAAAACCTTTCAAGGAAAAAGGTATAAGTAAGGATTTAATAGATACTGCAAAAATTAGGTATGATAATAAAATATTAATAAATATAATAGTTTTCTATTTTATAAGAAATTTTTCTCTAAAAATTTTATAGAGGAACTTTTTATCAAATAATACAAGGAAAATTATATAGACAAAGAGATTGTATGTTTCCTTCAAGATGTGCTGGAATAGAATATTTTCTTTTAAAACTTGCTCCTGGATTAACAGATATGGACTTAGTTATAAATGTAAGAGATTATCCTCAATCAAGTAAACATTTTGGAGATCCATTACCTATTTTTTCATTTAGCAAGGTAAATATAATTGTTAAAATCTCTTTTTTAAAAAAGTTCTCTGTTTAGAATTGTTATTTTATAAATTGATACAATTTATCAATAATCATATATTATTATTTTTTGTAGACTTCACAATATTATGATATTACATATCCAGCATGGGCATTTTGGGAAGGTGGGCCTGCAATTTCTTTGTATCCTCGTGGTCTTGGAAGATGGGATGAACATTGTATATCTTTAGATAAAGCTAGTAATAACACATTGTGGGAGAAAAAGGAAAATAAAGTATTTTTTCGAGGTTCTAGAACAAGTTCAGAGCGTGATAATTTAGTATTATTAAGTCGTAAGAAGCCAAATTTAGTAGATGCTCAATATACAAAAAATCAAGCCTGGAAGTCTAATGAAGTAATTTTTAATTATTTATTTAATATTTGGTTTTTATTCTTTTGTGTCATTATATATGCAGGATAATTTTGTATGTTATATGTTTATAGGATACATTATATGCACCTCCAGCTTCTGAAGTTCCTTTAGAAGCACATTGTAAATACAAATACTTATTCAATTATCGTGGTGTTGCAGCATCATTCAGACATAAACATTTATTTTTATGTCGTTCTTTGGTATTCCATGTTGGAAATGAATGGAGTGAATTTTATTATAATGCAATGATTCCTTGGATACACTATATACCTGTGTCTAAAGATGCTAATCAAACAGTATTAGAGTAATTTATTATAGTTTTGTATTGTTGTATTATTTAATAATGTTTATTTAATAATGTTTAATAATGTCTTTTTATAAAAAGTTATTTTCATATATTTTTATATTTGCAGAGAAATAATACAATTTGCTATAGATAATGATGACATTTCAAAAAAAATTGCAAATCATGGGAGAGATTTCATATGGAATAATTTAAAAATATCTGATGTCACACAGTTTTGGAAAAAGCTTCTTAAAAAATATTCTAAACTTTTAAGATATAAAATTTCACTAGATAAAAATTTAATTAAAATTGAAAGGAAGGAAAGATCTTAATAAAATCTATTAAAATAAATATTTTATATAAATAATTTTATATATTTTTTTATTAAAATGTCTATTTGTAAAATATTAACTAATAAAAATAATTCAATAATAATTAGATATTTGCTTAATTCTTAAAATAAGCGTTAGTTAAAACGAATGTATGATTTTTTATTGATATACTGTACAATGTCAGGACGTAGCACAATGGCAAGTTTCAATATGAATCATTTTAATGCCCTGACAAAAGATTTAACACAAACAAAGGCCTTGTACATTACATTATATTATGTATGTTATATTTCTGCATTATATACTTTATAAATTTAAATTAGAATTATCATTCAATTATTATCACAATATAAAATTTTCATATGTATATTTAAAAAAAAAATTTATTTTTTATTATAAATTTATAACAAGTATTAAAAAACTGTACAAGGCTTTTTTGTGCTTTATGCATTCTTAAATCCTAGGTACATTCTTAAGTACTTATTTATTTATAACAAAATTCTGAAAACATTTCTTAGAATGTAAAGAAACATTGTAATGTCATTAATATTACTATAAAAATATATATACATTATGTATTGCAAATATTCTATATATTTTTATTGCAAGATTTAATATTTTTTTCAATTGATTTTATTCAATTTTTAAGTTAAACATTTAAAGAATATAGAATATAAAATATATAGAAAATATTATACATATGTAAAAAATATTTACAATACATAGTATACATACATTTTACAGTGAATGTATACATACTATATGTTGTTGCTTTTTATGTAATTTTGGTTTTAAAGCATAATATAGTGGAACCTCGATTAAGCAGAATCTCGATTATCCGATATCTTCTCTTTGTTTACGAGTACATTTAAAAATAAAAAAAAGTTGTTATCGAAAATTATTTTTAAAAGATTTTGCATTGAGAATGATTATTACTTCGATAATAATTTTCATTCTTAATGTAATTTTTGTTTACAAAAATTAATTTGAAACAAAAAAAATATTAAACAAAATAAATTTAAAACAAAAAATAATTCTCGATAATAATTTTCGAGAATTTTACTCTATGTATTTTGATATCAATTTTGTATCTTTTCAATTTTCAAATTTCTGTTTTTAAAATTATTTGTTCTATTGGATTTTTTTTTGTTTTTTTTTTTAAATTAATCGATAATTATTATACAATCATTATAATTAATATATAACAAATTTAATTATAAATATTCAAAACATAAAACGTAAAAATGAATTCTAAAAAAAAGCAATTTGTATAAAAAATGCATTTTTAATTATTTCCTTGGATTTCTTCGAATTGTTTGTGCCCAAAATTGTTATGATTAATTGAAGTCCTACTATATGAACAATTATTATTTTTAAAATAATAAATTTTTTTTTTTACATGTAATATTAAATCTCACATTTTATAATATAGTCAGGAATGAATGTGTAACTATTATCAACATTATTTATTACAATTCTATTGTGTAATGAAATAAAAATGAAGTAGAAAATTGTTTAAAAGAAAAAGTGTCACATAAATGAAAAAAAAGAAAATTATTATAATAATCGTTGTTAATTAATAAACAATAATAACAACAAATAATAAAAAATTATAAGAGAAAGCTGCATTTTACTACAATATGTATTTTCAAAAATTTTAAGGCACTTGTATGGAAGATAAATATTTTTTTGATGTAATCATTATTATGAATACTATAGATGTTTTCATTGATTTTTAATTTTTAAATCAATTATTTATTATTAACTTATGATTTAAGATTTTAAGATATTTTCATAATTTCTTGTTTCCTTACAAGTATTTATATTTTTGCAGGAAATAATGAAAACTCTATAATATTCATAATATTATCAGTCAACGAATCAATTGACTGTTATTTTTATTTGCTATGTCATGTTACAGCATATTTCAGTTCTGTTTTAAACCTAGTATATGTCCTGCATAGATACACAAAATAAGTGCCTTTAACATTAATGTTTATACAAATCACAATGTACGAATAAAGAATAAATAGGCAGTGTAAAAGGTATGATGACACAATATTGCATGCGACATAAAATATTATGTATAAACATATTTTACACGTTCTTGTTTTTAATTTACATATATACAGCATGTCTTTTAAGATATTTTGAATCGATTCGATTAACAACGAAACATAATATCGTTAAGTAAAAATCACATCTTATAAAACATGCTGCAGAGAATACTTAATAACTAGGATGAAGCAAATATTTGTTTTCAAATTAAATGCTTAATTTGCTTCAATTGGAATGATTGTTTCATGAGAGATTAAAAGTAACAACGAACAAAATCTCAAATCGTTAACTTGTTCATCGATATTGAAAAAAAAAAAAAAGTTACTATCCACGATTCGTGAGCGTCGATTAGCACATTGCCATTTTTTTTTTTGGCACTGTTTCCCTTCGTCTACGATACACTTTGAGGTCACACTTTCCTTCCGTTTTAATTGTCCGTTCAAATATTTTCTATCGGACCTTCGTTGATGATATCAACGCTTTACGATCTCCAACAACTAATTCATCTCTTTTTTTACGTAGTGGCAACAATCTTAGCGATGAATAAGGTCATCAAATTGAGCGGAAGATACCACAATATCGATGACGATGTGAAAACGTTTCCCGCCGCGGAGCCCATATCCTGATTGGAAGACGTAACTAGCTGCTCGTCCGTTTCGCCTGTCGAATTGTTTAAAATTCGTAGGAGGATCGACATTGAAAAAATATGTACAATATTATAAGAGAATCGTCGCCGATTGATGGATGGTTCACTTCAGCACCAAACACGCTTAACACGATTTATCTCGCGTGAAACAGCACTAGTTGAACAATCGTTTCTGTTGTTTGGAACTTATTAGTTACGCCATTAGATCGGCTTTTTCCTGAACGTTTCCCCTCGTGATCTCTGTGTCTCGATTTTTATGATATTTTCGCCTTGAAAATTTCTTGTCCCATTTTGTTGCCTCCTAACTCGAGTTTACGATTCAACGAGATTCCTCGAACGAACAAGTTTTCATTCCCGTCCGTTCACTTTTTCCCGTAACCGTGCGATTCAAAATACAGATTGTTGTCTTCTGGAAAAGTGAGGTTTTTTCAGGTTAATGGAATTTCGTTACTGTTATCGCGAAACATAGTTCCCGTGATCGTTCTTCTCGAAATTTCTCGGCATCGTTATTTATCATCGAAGCATTTGTTAATCTCAAGATTTTTGTGCTTTTATAAATTTTAATTATCATATGTCAATTTTCAAAATTTTTTTTTCAGAATTTAGTTATTTGAGAAAATATGTGAGAATATGTGTGATTTATGTTTGCGTTGTTCATCGTTGTTATCATCGAAGATTATGCGAGAATAAATTATATATATTATAATTTATATATATTATAATTTTAAATAAAAAGTGTGCTTTAACAAAAACAAAAGTGTAAAATAAAGATAAATAACACGAGTCTTGTGGATAGTTACTCATTTTGTTGATTATGATATTATATAATTTTGTAATGTTCTTTTTTTTTTTTTTTATGAATAAATTACGTAAATGTAAAAAAATGTAAATTTATCGAAAAGATCAAACGAAATTGTTGATTTTTTAAATATTTTCGTTATTAAAAGTAAAATCATTTGAAAGAAGAAACAACATGTGATAATTATATATATAGTAGTATCTGTGAGAAAATATATTTCTTTTATGCACAAAAATCTTCAGAAGATAATTAATAAGTACTCTTATTTAAAAATTTAAAAAAATAAGTTAAAATTTAAATTTTTTTTATCAAGCTAGAAATAATTGTTTTTGAATGATCTATTTTTTAAAATATAGAATTTTAATCTTTCAATCAGTTAATATTGTTCATTGAAAAAAGAAAACAACTTATATTTTTCTTTAAAGAGAGATATTACCTTACAATAATTGTAGAGCATTAAGGGGAACATTACTATAGTATAGATATTTAGCAACTTCCACATTTAGACTTTACCAAAACAGAATAAAAGAAAATGAGTGCAGAAAGAAAAGAAAATACAACATGCTCTGTACCAAAATGATTCTGTGTAGAGAAAGATTATTAGAACTAAAAATAGAACGATACTCGTGCAAATAAATTGTATGTAAAAGAGATAAATAAAATATACGTGCATTTTTGTGTGTACGATGTGTTTGTACGTGTACAAAAAAAAAAAAAGAAATGTCAAAAAAGGAAGAAATGAGATAGAGGTACAGGAAATCAAGAATGATTTTATTCATTTGAAAAGGTTAAAAAAAAAGGAAAGACGGGAATAGACAATTTTCTATGATAGATTAAGTTCCAAACAACGTAACCATCCTCCATATAACATAGTTTTTACCATGCACCTGTTTGCTTTATACGTTTGCGCAGAGATTCGTGCATGTGCGCATATTTTATGTGTTTCGTGCTGTGATACATCCTTCATAATTATATGCAAAAAGAAAATTCGTGCAACGCTATCAATGAATGGATATCATCATGCGTCACAGTGATTTTGATTTTACACAGATCTGTCAAATGAACTCTGTTTATACGATTTCGTATTTAAAATTTCACAGGTTTATATTCCGTATCACGCATAACTGATGAACAAATATTTGATTATTTGTTCATCATTGTAAACAGACAATTTGACGCTTAGAGCTGATGTTGACAGATCTGATTTAACTCGGTGAAATATTCTGTTCGTGAAATCATTGAAAGCTCAGTCGAAAGCAATATCAATTGATCGTTCCATATAGTTTTTAAGATTATAAAAAGCTTGAACTTGAAGATAGTATTATTTTTGCTTTACAAGCGATTGAAAATATTAGTGAAATCGAGAAAAAAAAAAAAAAACGTGCAGAAGCGAAATTCATATCTGATGAAAGAGACCATGGTGCGAATTATTTTCGTAAGTGAGCATTAGGAATATGATATACCTATGAATGTTTAAATTTGGAACAAGAACAGTGTGCGACGTATAAAATAGGTAGATAAAAAAAGAATAAAAAGCTACATAACATAACTATAAATAAACTATAAATAATTCGTAGATAAAATGCGATCACGTGAATAAGCAACAAAAAAAAAATACGAAAAAGAGAAATTTAATAGATATGGAAAGCTTGTGTTGTAATATTTATTATTTCCATCAAACTGAATCTGATGATGGTGACAGACGTTTTACATTATTTCTGTCACGTTAATCAGCATATCGAATGGAAAATTTCTATTCTTTCTTTGGTTTCTCTTTTTGTTTTGAATTTTTTTGCAGACACGTAAAACTTCATTTTTTCTGCCTGGCTAATAAATACTCTGGGCTTCGACAAGCATGTGAATATAATTTCGCGAATGATTCACTTGTATAATAATTTATTTGGAGAATAAGGATTATAGGATATGTATTTATGCGTAAGGACATAGCCTTAGGAAAACTTTCAGTGTTGTGGCAGAATTTGCAAATCGTATATTATTATTTTTCTTAATTTCCGTTCTATGTAATTTATTTAAAAAAGGTAATATTTCGATGCGATATTTAATTTGAATTTAAATAAATAAATTTAATTTTATTTTGGCAATTTGATAGAATTTTTAATTTTCAATCATGAAAGATTCCATGGAAGTTATCCTAAGGCTGATGAGGATAAAATCAAATGATAATTTTGCACATTGACAAAAATAAAGTAATCCAATTTTCAAAAATTAAACTGATATACATCAGATCGGTACATATACTGAAAAAAAATATTTGTTATAATAAAAATTGATTTTTCTTAAAGATTAATTAAAAATCTAAGCAATTTTATTTGCTTAAAGCTTTTAAAATGTCATTATTGTATAAAATAATAAAATATTGTATAATTTAATAACTTACAATTATATTAATATTTTTGTTGATGTGCAATTTAGATAATGGATTAATAAAAATGGATGAATAATGATGTATTAAAGCGATTTTATGTATTTGTTAGTAAATTAATATGCTGCATGGCATAATTGAAGATCCAATGATATTGATAATTCAATTATTTTTCGATTTCAATGTTAATATCTTCCACCATGAAATATCCCAAATTAAGATGACCACCATGTTTATAAATATTATACTCATCAAAGAATTTTGTGCAAGCTACATTATATCATTATTAATCATGTTGCGTTATAATGATCAATAGAACTCAAAATTTAATTATAATCATTTAATATCATTATATTTAAGTCATAATTTATGCTATGAGCGTGACTTTGTATTATAAGGCAATGAATTGAAACATAAATTACAAAATGTGTGGCATGTTGTATTAAAATTGGAGTAGCATGTGTAATAATAATTTTGGTCTCTTGTGGAAGAGCTGTTGAGAAAAGATTGTTTTTTATTTTACTTTAAACTATAATTTTCTAATATCTGTTTAACTTCTGTTTCGGATAAAATTTTATTTTAAATTATCAGATAACCCGATTATTATTGCATGCACAAATTTCTTCGATGATTATAAAAGCCCTAGGTATGTAATAGCCAGGTGTTCGAGACACCAAATACTGTATCCTCGCCTTTTCTGTATTCATATTTTACTTATTATCACTTAAAATTCGATTTTTCGTAGTGAGGTGAGATAAGTTCGAAGTTTCAAGTATCCACTTTTAGACAAATCACAGTACAATCTTAGCAATAATTTTGGAATACAAAAATTAAAAATATTTAAAAAGAATCTAAATACAAAATATTCTATATTTAAAATTTTCCTTATAAAAATAAAATATAATGAAATATAAATATTGCATTATATTAATATTTAGATATCTATATTTAATATTACTTTAAATGTATATTTTATGTACATAATATATGATAATACTCTGATTATAAAAAAAAGTGGATATGAAACTGCTATGAAACTGTATTATGGCGAGAAGTAAGAATCTGGTCTGACTCGAATGAAGCTTTAATACCTGCATCTAATATGATGTCTCCGACGTCGTTATTGTCACCATCAACGGAGTCCAGAATGAAGAAATTTCCGTCATTCAGAAACGTATTTATAGAATTTTCAGGAAACCATAGGCATTCGTTGCCATTACATTGGTTATTGAACCATCGAATGATTGAACCATTACCTAACGTTCCCTTATTGGCTGATCTACATCCGAACCACCAGTAAGCTGTCGACCTAGGGAATGCTGGATCAGCAACGTCCACCTAAACAGTATTTGAAACAATTTAATCGAAGGTACTTTTTTTTATTTTTAATTATTTATTTTATTTAGAAATAATTCTTAGGTTAACATGATCCAAAAGTTTTGATAATTTATTTTTCAATTATTCTGAATGTGTTAGTTTTATCATGTTGAGTTATGATTTCTATATCCCTCTTTTTTTTCACTCCTCCTTTTTACCTTTTATTAAAAACAATTTTCAATCTTTTTATCGTATAGTATAAAATTTTTTATTAGAAATTTAGAAAAAAAACAAAAATCATAAAATGTGAATGATCCAATTTGATTACTCACGGAAAACGTTCTATCGTTGAATCGATAATAAGCATCCCCTTTGAAGAAATACGTGTAACCACGATAGACTATCGAAGCATCAAGATTATCGGGGAGCCCTTCCCAATTCGAGATCAGTTTGGGATAAGTGTTCTTCACAGGTGGTTTCTGGGATGGATCAAACCTCCAGAATTTGCTGCCTTTGTAGAAGTAGAGTTTGCCATTTCCGGTCCAAACGGTCACAGTGTCGATGTTATCCGGAATTCCTGTAAAACCTTCGCTGATTTCTTTCGGATAGTCTCCATCCATTTTTTTACCTACGTATCTCCAATATTTCGAGCCCTGCAACAATATCATTTATTTCTTCTTTTATGTTTTATTTATATTCTCTGTTTTATTCTTGGTCTTATGTCTAAGATAACAGAGAAATTATCTAGTGAAAAATGATAGTTATATCAGTTATTGGTTTTTCACCTTGAAGAAGTAAGTCTTCCCATTTTTGTACGTGAACGCAGCGTCTATGTTCCCTGGCAATCCTTTCCATGAGTGTGAAATGAGCTTGGGATAGCCCACTGCTACACCATCCGAAGTTAATCTCCAGTAACGATCACCTGTAGTTCATTTAATCATTTATTACAAAATAAATGAACATTAGGATTTAGAAATTTTCTCGATATATTTTTTTTAGAATATAGATTTTTTGTATTTGGCCTCTCTGCTTATTATGATTTACTCATTTTTTTTTTCTATTGGAATTCAGAAATGGCATTGGAATTCATACAAAATTTAATTTTTCCCATTATTTATGATTTTTCGTGTAAATAATGAGATAACATTTCTATATAATAAGAAAAAGTTGAAGATAGAGTCATTTCAATGAATAAAATAAAATTTAGATAAATATAATTCTATTTTATAAATATATTAATGATCTTTAAACTTTATATATATATATATATAAAAAGATTATATTTCGTTTGTTATCATACCAATTCTGGCATATATACGTACCTTTGAACACGTACATATGTCCCTCCGCAGAATTGAACATGGTATCGACCTTTGAATTCGTACATAGTTCTGAATCCTCTTCGCTAGGTGATGCAGTGGTAGTTGGTTTTGGCCCGCTCGGAATTCCACCGTTATTTGACGTTTTCGTTCCATACAGTGCCTAAACCACACGAAAAATTCAAATTTAAACTCTTCTACTTTTTCATTATGCTATTTACAATTCATATATTTCTTCTCAACCAACCTTTCCATTCCAAAATGTATTATAAATGTATTCTTCTATTTTTTTTTCTCAAATTGAAGAAATTCTATCATTCTTCGTTTATGAAAAGTTGATTTTCATAACAAATGGATTTTGTATTACGATATTTACCTGGATACCCTGAATGTCGTCCTCGTCTAACCGGAAATAAGGTTCATAGCCGCGATAAAAGGGTGCCATTAAAGCAGATTTAACGTCGCTATGGCTCAGACCGAGAGAATGGCCAAACTCGTGAGCAGCTACTTGAAACAGATTCGTTCCACGGAAACTGTCGATGGTCCATTGTTCTGCGTCGTCGAAATGGGCATCACCGCCGTATACGGGGAAGTAAGCGTGAGCCAAAGTGCCACCAGGTCCATCGAAAGGATCTCCATCTCCGTGTTCGCCTTTCTCGAATCTAATTTCGATATGGACCTAATAAAAGTGGATCAAAAATTGTTATAATCTATAAAAAATTATTCCAACATCGAAGGATCTATAAGAATGTCAATTTTATTGAAATCTCTTGTTTTTTTAGACATTTCAATTTATTTTATGTAAATAATAAGACATTTTTTGATGTCTTATTACATAAAAATATCAATTTGATTAGCTTTTTATTTTTAAAATAAATCAATCCAAATTATAATTATCTTCATGATATTTAATATTATTTATGGATTATAACAATTTTATTGAATTTTATTGAATTCTATTGAATATTTATTTTTCAATTATTATAATTTTATAAGAAATTATTTCAACGTAAATCTCATTGATGTTAAAGTATTGCGATTAATATCGCACATAGTTTCATGAAAAATAAGCAATGATAAAATCATGTAAAATCATCATTGGTAACAATGTTTGCTATCATTTTCTAGGTTATCAGATTTTTAGCTATAAGTTTTTTATAAGATCATTTTTTTTTGTTTTTTTATTTCTTTTTCACTTCACGATTGTGAAATATCTCGACAAATATTATTCGCCTCACCTGGCCTGACTTCTTTTGGACGAAAACGAGATCCGTGTATTCCGACCATACTTTGAACGCCTTGTTCAACTCGGCATCAACTTTGTGTTGTGGCAAATTTCGCGGATATTTGCTGATCTTGTATGATAATTTCTTCACACGCCATCTAGAACCTGTAAATAAAATATTTCTTTTCTTTTTTTTCGATTTTTCTATCAACTATACCATTACATTAAAAATTCTGATTTATAATTATGAAAATTATAAATGCATAATATATATTTTCAGTTTGATAATAGTGCAGATATCGATCTAAAATTTGTTTTAAATTTCAAGATTAAATTAAATTTCTAAATAATGTAAGTATAAAATTAATAATGGAAAAAGAGGAGTGAATGATTGGATGTGCAACAAGTTTTCTTAGGATATCTATATAATTGAAAATAATAAAAACTTATGATTAACTTTTGAAAAATTAATTTGGTATCTACCATAAATATCTACCATAGTGATCTTCGATCGTTATTTAATATATATTTGCAAAGAAGATCTTGGCAGCTCTGTAATGTCTTTTTATGTAACGGTATTCTATGTGGTAATCATTTCACTACCGTTTTATTTGTCTCTTGTGCAACGATTTATTTTTAAATATAAGCATTCGTTTTGAATAAGATTTCAGTATGAAGTTTACATCGAAACGTTTCATTGATTTTCATCTATCTAGAAAGAATCATTGGAACGTGATTTTCCAGTGGGAATTTATTAGTAATCCATTTTTCCAATCAAGTATATTGATTCACCCCTTAATCACGACAACGTGTCTGAAACACGCATCGATGAACTTTGTACTTCTATATATCTAAGTTCTTTCATAGATCTTCTTTATGTTCTTATCTTATTTGCTATTAGAAGCAATTATGAAATGTATCACACTTTCATCACAAATGTGTTAGTGAGTTATCATTTTGAAAAATTGCAGAAATAATATTGTCTCGATCATTAAAAGTATTTAACAAAACAATCTATTGTTATAAAACAATTGTCATGAAAAAAGAGAAACAATCTTCTAGGAATCATTGAAAGTTAATTCTTTTTTAATTTCATATAATTATTGATAAATTTGATCAATATAACAATATATGTCATTATATCCAAAAATCTGCAATATTTCAAATATTTTCGAATTGTAATAAGCAACGATAAAAAAAAAAATAATCCATAAATTACAGAAGAAGCTCATTGTCAAATACATAGCCTTGTCATCACATCACCGATCTATTATCTTTGTCAAACATCACATCTAACAGCAAGGTCGATCAATTAAATACCTCCATCATTAAAGAGCGAAACTCGTCCAAGCTTATATCCTTCTTTGAATAAATGGATAGATTAAAAGTAGAGAAAATTTTAGATATTAAAAAAAAAAAAAAAAAAAAAAAAAAAATACTAATATTTCAATCTTTCATTCTTAAATATTTCATTCTTCTATTTTAATTTATTTCAAATTTCCTCCACATTTAATCTCTAATCTATTCGATTACCAAAACAAATTTCTTCGAACAATAAACTCTTCACAATCTAGTTTTGAAACGGTCCAATTTTCAGGCCTGATAAATTTCTATCATCATTTTGATCGTGATCGATCTAATGGGTCCAGGAGATCTGTTACGCGATAAAAATCCATAGGATACACGCATCGGTGATCTTGTCGCCACGAGTTCACTGAAACGAGGCACGTTTGTACGAGGTTCAAAGTCATGGTTAGGATCGATCGAATCTCGATAATTTTTAGGTAAATTGTATCCTTTACGTGTGATTGAATAAGTCAGAATCAAAGAGTGGATTATTTTCTTGCGAGAAGAAAGAGTTAATGAAAAGAAAATGAAAAGAAGTGTCTTATGGGTTATAGTTGATTGGATAACTGAAATCATGATTTTATGGAATTTTAAATTGTTAGAATGGTGGACAATAGAATGTTTGGACATATTATTGATTAATGATATATGGTATATTATTTTAATTTTATTGTATTTGTATGACATGCAAAATTCTATTGTATTTATTGGATTTTTTAAAATATTTTAATAAAAGGTAAATTTTTTTTTCTTGTAGGGATTTATATGTTAATTTTGAAGAAAATATAAATTGTTAAATTAACTTTATAAAAAATTAAATTTTACATCCGATATTTGGTTAATTGCATCGAAATTTTAATTATAAATTGAAAAATAAAGATTCATTTAATAAGTCGCATAAAAAACCTTCTCAGAATTGTATTTAGAACAATTTTGATGGATAAAAAATGCATTTAGAGTATCCAACAAAAGGCTACAGGTGCATATATATTTCATTTGAGGTGACTGATTCTATAATAAGGATAATGTGACAGGAAGTTAGAAGTAACATTGAATTGCGAATACGTTCCACTACTCGAATAATTACACGAATTTTTAATAATTGTTTCACTTATTTTGTGTAATAACTTTAAATGCAAATTTTAATTGTTTTGAATTCTGGTATCTTTGATAAATTTTTTTTAAATAAATTTATTTTAGAATATATGATCACTAAATTAATATATATTATTCAATTTTGGTATGTATTTGTCGAATGTGATTACAACTGAGATTTTGGATTTTATTACATGATTCGATTAGATAATTCGATTGTTGTATGTCATAAGATATTTTGATGAAGTTTGATTAGATTAGAATGATTAAATTCATGATTATTTTATAATCTATTTTTCTTTTCTTTGTAAAAGGAAGTTTTTTTTTTACTTTTCTATTTTTTTATTTTTCAATTCGGATATTTTTATCAATTGAAATTGATACGTTAAGTGAGTGAAAATTTTTGAATTGATAAAAGGATATTCATAGGCTTAAATTTTTCCATTTTATGGAATTAAATTGTAATTTGATTTACCTTGAAGAGCGTATCGTTTCGATCTTCCAAAGCCAGGACCAACTTTATCTTTAACACCACACCTTGGCAATGTCATTACTTTATATGTTTCTTCGTCGATATCACCTAAAAAAAAAAAACAATTTTTTCAATAATAATTACAAATATACAAATTTTTAACGTTACTTATAATTTAATTTTATCTTTAAATTTCTTTAATTTAAAAAAAAAATTATTTATCCACAATATAATATCTTATTAATTTTCATCCATTCATAACACATCGGATGATATTCTTTCATTAAAATTTTCCATTAATATTTCATTGATCTTAATATTCTAATATGCTCATTTCAATATATAATTTTCATTTTCTTATTAACCTAATGGAAGGCAATCTTTTTTAACTCATCGAATACATTTCTTTCATAATTCGTTTCCTATGAAATTCAGTTTATTGTAGGACTCGTAAAGTATTATCGATTCCTAAAACCATATTACTCGCTCTATTTACAATCATTCATGTGTGCGTTTCCTTGTATCGCGGTACATATGCATCAAGCGAACACATACATGCATAATAATGCAAAGTACATGATAAGTTAAATTATTCGTACATTCTAATTCTAAGTCCAATCTTAAGATGATCGATACTATGATTATAATCTATGCGATAATAAACTTATATTAAGTTCGAATAATTAATATCCATAATTGAAAAAAAATTGATCTCAATTGTAAGGATTCTTTTGTTTAAATTGATTTTATTTGAAATAAATAATTCGATTCGATTTTTAAATTTTAGTTTGAAAAGTCAATTGTAGATCTTTGTCTAGGATTTTAGATCTCTAAAGATCCACAGATCACAGTTTAAGAATTACGTATCGGTATAATTATCTCGATCTCGATCGTATGTAATCAATATTTTATTCGAAACGGTTTGAAAACGTTTGATTCGAGTTTTAGTTGTCACGCGATTGTGGAATTATTATTAATACTTTTCTACCTGGAAATTGTGATGTATTAACGATCGTGTAAAAATCGATTCAAATACGGTTACGAGCTATCGAGTTGTTCGATATTGATGTGAGCGTGTTTAGAATAGATTGAAGATGTACTGGAAATATCTTTGTTAAGTTATTGCATGATAAATGTCAGTTTTCTAGGTTTTGAATTTCAAATAATATTTTACATATTCTAGTTTTCTAAATATAGATTTCGAATATATTTTTTAATCCATAAATTTATTAAATAGATTTTTATAACTTATTATACAGATTTAAATTATTTAATAGATATGTATCGAGATATTTCTTTTTATGAAAATTTTTATAATTTTCAGAAAGAAGTTTCAATTTATTATTTTCTTCTTTGAATAAGTAATACATTCGATAATCTAAAAATGAATTTATTAACAATAAAAGAATATAATTGCTTTTTCTTTTTTGAAAAAATGGATATTTAATTAACAATTCATGAAAAGATTTATATGCTCAAAAGTATTTATTCGCAATAATTTTAATTGAATTAAAAAAAAAAAATTGAATTTACACAATATGTGTAAATGTTAAATATCCTTCATAAAATTAGAGCAATTATATTTATACTTTTTTCGAAGTGGATAATGCGTGGATTTCGAGTTATTTTTCTTTCAATACAAATTTGATCAAATTGATTCAATTGGCAAGAATTCCATATTTTTATAAAACTGAAGTCAGCAATGTTATATAATTGCAAGTGTGATTCTTTACTTTGCGATGAAAAAATTTTAATTTCAAAACAAATTATATAATAATCATTAATGCAGTTGATAAAATATTTTTCTTTCATCGGTTCAAAGTTTCAGCTTGAAATTAACTTATTCTTTTCATTGTGTATTTATTACATGATAAGTGAATATATTATTAACTGCATTTATTTTCCGTTTTATCGTTGATTATTAGTGTTATCACATCTGATTTAGCTTAATGATTTATATAACATTAATTTTTCTTTATTATAACATTCAGTATTTTTTTTTTCTTTTTTATTATCTAGATAATCGTAGATATTTTGAAACACAATTTTTAATAATTAGTTTTTGATGATGAAATTTTAATAGATACTTTTTTGTTACAGAAATATTAATATTTTTCATTAAAAACTAATGTTTGTAATAGAAAAATAAAAAGTATAATACATTATTGTATTATATTGAAATTTACTGACAAAACAATAGTGTAATTAGAAAAGTATTCGATATGACGATCATTTATGATACAATAGCTATAATTATAACTAGAGAGACTAGAATACGGTTGTTTTTTTGTACATTTTACATATTGCGTATACTAATTATAATATTTATCATTCTCAACACGTAACTAGTGCTGCATTATTGCAAGCTTTTCTTTCTTCTTGATAATTCAGTTTCAATTATGAAATGATAGATCGATCATAGAGATTAGCAAATGATCAAATCATTTTCAACCCATTTTTGTTCTTTATAAATTAATTTAACGAATATCAGGTGAATGAATAATTAAATAATTAAAATCAATTCATAATCCTACTAGATATTGAAAAATATCTTATGTATATATAATTCAAAATATAAATAATATATAAAGTATCGTTAGTTAACATTTTTTCTTTTTTTTCACGATGTTTTTTTTTAACCATTAATAAAGAGATTTCTTGCAAAAATTCGAAAACATACGATTGTGCAATAATTTCACAAATTCATGAGATTTGTCACTTTTGTTGAACAACTTTTTACGAAATATCTTCTTCCTCTTTCTAACATATTTCTTACGTGTGCACGAGTTGATTCACCGTGTTCAATATATAAGCACAAGGTTGATTATGTTAAGTATACATATAGTAAGAAATTCTAGTTTGATAGTGGCAGATGATTGCTGTCGATAAATACCGTTTCATCTCAAATAAATACCGCTATATAGGATGCAATTTAATAGTTAGATCATTCTTCCGTTCACCTTCGTTTTTTTATCCATATCCATCAATCCAGTACTGTTTTCAAAAATTAAATTTTTAATCATGATCTTTCAATAATATTTTGAAATCATAATTTTCTAATCATGTAACTTATTTAGATTAAATTGTAATTTATTTTCGCTAATCTTTATTTTATTAAATATCCATTTCAAAAATGGAAAATTTTCTTCGTTCGTATATGATTTATTTTATTTGTTATCGTGTCCTAAACTGGATACAAATGAATTATTACGAATGATCGAAGTGAAATCATTTCTCTACAGGAAATATGAGGTGACTTTTACCACGATTTCATAATAATCGACAAATTCGATAATTTTTGTGTCACAGATTACTCGTTCCGGTTGGAGATTTCATTATTCGATAGAAACCTTACCAAATCTTTCTTGGGCAACTCGTCGAAAAAGGTGTCTTTGTTTTTTTTGGTAAAAAATCAGTAGAAAAACATAATTGCGTTACAATTTTTATTATTATCTCTTCTTGTTGTAATATGTTTTTTAATATTTGTTATTCTTTGTTATTCGATGTGTGTTTTTAATTGCTTTTAATTTCAGAATTTTAATAATGTCTATCTAATCACTTTGAAATATAATTTATTAAGTAATTATCGGTAAAGAAAAGAATGATTGATCTTTAATAAATAAAATGTCTATTAGAAGTGATGATTAGGAAAATTTTTTTAAAATCGATTATAATAATTGTAAGTATTGATAATAACATTTTTAACATGATGCAGCTTGATATTATTATTTTAATTTCAATTAAATGGAACAAAAATCAAGTTTCAGTATTAAATAGACTATAGAATAATATTAAGTATTATTAATACGATACAATCGTTAATATTTGTTAAATCGAAATTTTTGATTCGATTTTTGATTATTATTATAAAATAAACATTCATACAAAATAAAATTTAATTTCGAAATATTAAAATTATTTAAAAATAAATCCATGATTAATAATTTCAATCAAATCGTAATTAGAAACAGGAAAATGTATTCGTAAGTGTGATCAAGTTACTGTATATCGTATGAGTCATTTTTTTAAGCGCCATTGATGAATCTGCTGCATTTCATCGAACTCAATGAATCATCTCTCAGCAGCATCATTGAGACTGCATTGTCTTTATTTTCAAACATAAGCTATTTCCGGTTCCTACGCGATTCTTTATGAAATAAATTCCTATTTTATTTTTTGCAAAAATAATTTATACTCCATTCATTCACTCTCCATTTTTATATATTTTTCAATTTTCAAATTAGCTATATTACAATACAATCTTTCTTAGAAATCTTCTCAATTGTTATTTTTCATTCCAAATAAAATACTCAAATCCAAACTTGTTACAAAAACAATTTCTTAAATTTATTGATGGAATTAAATCAATTACAAAAATATTTGATATTCAGTTATTAGAAATCTCTCTTATCAACGACGCACTCTCGGTTTTCTCGATTTTATCCAAGCCAATCATTGAAATTTGAACCGGAAATAATTTGTTTTTTCGTTCGTCACGTTGTCAACTCGACGTCAAGGTTTGTTTTAATAACCAGTTCTCGTTAAACGATTCTCGTCGTTTCAAGATATTGTTTGACGTTCGTTCCTCTATTTTTCCAAAAATTGTTGTTATCTTCTTTTTCTTTTCCCTCCTTTCTACCATCGATTTTTGTCCATGGAATCGAGCGTGTTTTCAATGCGAACGAACGATTTAACTGGCATCCAGTCTTTCAAGGTCTAGAAACGTTAAAAATCCGGTCTTTATTCGGAGCCGGTCAGACAAGTACGTGAAGGTGCAAGTGTATATTTTTTTCTACAATTTTCTTGGATATGAAAGGATAGAAATGTGTTGAAAGGATGGAGCTGTAATTTGCTTTGTTGCTCTCTTAAAATTGGCTTTTATTATTTTGATAAAATAGAGAGATGCTTTGGAGAATCTGTTATTTTTGCCTCTTTCTTCTTTAATATAATAAATGATAATTATGTTAGTTTTAATATAAATATGATTTATTTTTTTTAATGTTAATGAAGTTTTTCGTTCGAGTTAGAAACTTTATTTTTTTATATAATTTTAATTGTTTAGTTTTTTTTTTACAAATTATTTATTTGATGTAAAGTCAAATTAATTTTTTAATATTTGTCTTTTTTTAAGACTGACTTATTTGTCAAAAAATGTACGTAGGTTAACAGCTGATGTAGTATCTCTTTGCAAAATCATTATAATTTCAATGTTAGCTCTAACGTAATATATTTCTTTGAAGACAGTTTATCACCTCATTAAGATATGAAACTTCAACGACGTAATAATGTGATATCTCGCATTCATTATGTATTGCAATTTATATTTACAATTTCTTAACTATTTCTTTTTTTTCTTCTATTTTTTAAGATAAAAAACAATATAAAATTAAGTATTACTTTTAAAGTAGAGTAATTTTTTATAATTATTAATAAATATCATCAGATCAGGTTAGACAAATGATTCTAATCAAACAAGCATAATCAGTTAGCTCTATTTTCGATCATTTTTCTCTCATAAGTAAGTTTTATTTAACATTTCATTTCATTTAATAATATTATCAAAATTAAATTATATTGTATTATTTAATATTAGATTATAAATAATTATATTTTTCAAAATAAGAAAATATCTCATAAGGAATTAAAACTTTCAATATTTTTATTTTTTTCTACTTCATATAGATTCTTTTTTTTTTTCAAATTTTATACAAATTCTTCTTTCTTTCCCAATTATTTTAATTAAAAAAGTATTACAACATCTCGAACAACAATTCTCTTATATCTCTACTTTTTCTTAAACTTCCTGCATATTTTATTTTTCAATGAAATAAAAAATGAAATGAAATAAAAAAAATTCTCCCATCTCTTCAATTATCCATTTATCAACATTTCATTCATCTTCATTCTTTCTCACTTAACACATTTTATGCAACGATTCTTTTTTCTATCTCTATGAACCGGTCATTTCTAACCTAAGTTCGATCCATTATTCAACCGTGACCGAGTCATTCTTTTATGCCATTTTTTTTTTTTTTTTTTTTATCTCAGATCCTAATTACCCTCTGAGTGACTAACTGACTGATAATCAGAATCATTTTTTTTCTCTCGATTCAACTCGCGGTTGAATAATAATTATTCGTGCGAAACAGATATGACGTTCGCGTCTTTTGACGTATAGGAAACGACTTTTGGAATTGGACTCTGATATCACGCATACAAACGCGCCGCCATTCGCAACTATTTCATTACTACTTCCATTATTTTAGCAAATTTAATAGTTGTCACGAGGTTTACGGTGAGTCAGAGCAAACAGAGCAAACACCGAACGAATGCATCCGTTAAATATGTGATTCACGCATTCACGGCGACTATTATGCTCAATTACAGTTTAATATAATACGATCGCAAGGACATAAATAAAATTTAATTGATAATGAAGTGAACGAGATAATCTGTCGGTTGATTACTTTAAAGTGGATCATTCGAGGAATAAGAGAAAACTGGGTGGAGTATTATTATAGATTTTTTTTTTTTTTTAGATTATTCGATTCGATCAATTTTGCGAATTATTTTTAGATTATTCTTTAATTTTTCATTTTATTCTTGAATCATTTTTGGATTATATATTTGGATTGGTTTTCGAATTTAATTTTTAGTTATTCTTGGTTAATTTTATTGTAGAGTTTTTATTAAGCTTTTATCGTTTCTTTGTAAATTTTAATTGAATATAATTATTATAACGTTAAAAAATATGTTATAAAAATTAAAATACCAGACTTACCTGTTATATTCAATCCGGCAAAAGCTTGAAATTCCGAGATTGCTTTAGAGAGTGTTTCCTCGGATATGATTCCACCACTTGTTGGATTCATAGGTTGCAAATATCCAAATTGAGAGAGATAATTCTGTAACAGATGTAAATAGTAATTTTATTTAATAATTTTTTCTTTCTTTCTTTTTAATTTATAATTCATTATACGAAAAATATATGAATTTTGAATTGTTCTATTTGAAAATTTTTTACTGACATTTTAGTATTAAAAATATTATAAAAAGATTCGTGGTATCTCGATTGATGATCGCACCGCTAGATTTCGCACGCTGAAAAAATATAAATGGGACAGATGGTGATGTCCGAGGGGATTGACCCGACTAGTGACTATATTGTGCTATGATACAGTTATTTAACCACGACGACTAAAGGGAATTAATATTCTGGCGAATAAAGCGAGCCGCGTGTACGTGTTTCCGCTTTCCTTGTCTCTTATTTCTAAGCTGAATCATTGTGAATTTCGGTTTCATCAAACAGGTAGACAAAGTTTGTTAATTCATGAATCACAGCATGAAGAATGCAGCATGAATAATGAAGTTTATTTGTTAATTTTTACAAGAAATCATTGAAAAGTCGCGAATAATAATAATCGAAAGATGTGAAAATTATTCAATAAATTATTAACAAATTATTATTCTCGTGACGTTTTTTCAATTTTTCAATTTTTTTAAAAATGATAAATGGTATTGTTCAAAGAAATCCGTATTTCGAGTTTTAAAATAAAATAAGAAATATTATTCATCTGATGGATCTCTCTTTGTCAATCATTTCAAAGCTTAAGATTCTAGAAAACTATTTCTTTTAAATCTTCTTCAAATAATGAAATAGTATCTATTTCTAATTGAACACATTCCAATTAGAACGCTCGATAAACGTGCATTATTGCGCGTTCTTTTAAACCTCTTTATTGTTAGCTAAATAACATTAAATTCAACGCCGAACAAACGCCAATAAACCGTGAAACGAGCAATAAAACGTAATCCTAGCCTCGACTAGACTTCTCGTAAACGCGAAGTTATGCCGTGACTCACGATGCAGATAAAAGAGATATTCATTCGAATAATCGAAGTGCAGATTGCGTTTATGCTGCACTCGAACCATCACGCGGATTCGAAGTCGGGAGCGGAAGTCTTGTTAAACGATGATGATTCATCGAAATAAATTTTTTGTGCTTTTATTTTTAAAAAACTATATATATATATATTAATTCATAATTGAGAATTTTTAATGGGTGGATTTTAAAAAAAACGAATTTGGAAATTTGATACGATATTCCAGAATTTTTGTTATTCCGTGGAGATATCGTTTTGGACAGTACGTCGATGGTTCATTCCACGAATATCCATTTTTCTTTTTTTTGAAATTTGAGTTTTTGTATGCAATATATATAGTTCTTCATGTTGTATAAAAGTCACATTTATATCTGCTTTATGAATTTATGAAAATTATATTTTTATTTATCGCTTATCCTTGAATGTGTACGTACCATTGAATCTTTAAACCTGTTTTTCTCGAAGATATAAGAAAAGTGGACGTACAATATTTGTGGAGATGAACCATCGATAATATAAATTTTAACGTAGAAAAAATGAAATAATGCGCAATAAGAAAGAATTTTTTATAATCAATTTTTGCTGTTTTGTTTTATTAAATAATTGATAATTACAATAGATCTTCAATTAATCAGTCTCTTCTCTGATTAATGAAAATAATTTCATCAAAACATTTGTTAACATAATAATTTCATTTTTCTCATTATTGATGAAACGTTAATTGAAAAAAAACCGACTGGTTAACTTATACTTGAAATTTAAAGCAATTTTTTAAATGGCTACAGAAATTTAAAATCTGTATTATAAGACAAGATTATTCCATTCTTCGAGTATTATTTTTAACATGATGCATTCCTTTCTAAACACGTAAAAGGATTTCGTCCAGAATTCCACGAAATATGGCTTCAAGTGCATCGCTCGAGCTCCAGGGAACGTTTATGTAAATTAGTTCTGCTCTTATGGATCTAGACTCGTATGTAACGTATGTAAGATCGACGAAAATAAACATCGAGATTTGCATAAAGAAAGAGAGAGAGAGAGAGAGAAAAAAGGACTACTGTAATTTTATTTTTAAAAAATTGTGCGCATGCATGTTAATTTAAAAAGTATTTATACTTCGAAGAATTGAAAAAAAAAATACATTAACAAACATACAAAAAATTATTTCTCTCCACGTGTTTCTTAATTATTTACGATCAAACAGAAATCTGCTCCATATATTTCTCATCATCATCATCCATCCAATTATCTCTAATTACCAAGAATTCAATGGATAAAATACGTTGAGTCACGTTGAGGAAGATAGATAAGAAGAAGATAGAAATTCTCCAAAAATTCTTTGGAAATCGGAATAAAAATTCTTCCACGAAACCGTTTCTCGCTACGAATAAATTTCTTTCCTCGTAAATGGGAAGTTTTGACCACGATCCTCGACCAAAATTCCTCATCCACACCGATAGCCATCCGGTGTCAATGATTCAAACATGGATCACGGTTCCGTGGCTTACGAATCTCGTAATAAACCCGAGCTGGTTCCGAGAATAGAGTGATTTTTATGAATGAACGTGAGCTCGCGTACTCGCGAGAGCGCGTGTGTCACGCGTGAATGGCCACTCCTTCCAAAGCCCTCGTAACAGGATCGTATAATACATTGCTGTTCATAAGTCATTCTATGAGACACGTTCACAGAGATACGATCGAAGCTTTGAAACTACAAGAACCTCTAATTAATATATTCGCGAGATACTTTTGAAGGATTGATTGTATGGATAGAAAATGGAAAAAGAAAGTTGATGTACAAATTATATGAGAAAAATTTGATTACATTTATTTTATATTTATCAATATTTTAATAAATCTTTGTCGTTTGGGTAAAATTTATAAGTGTTAAAAAGAAATTAATGTAGATAAAATAATGTTTATATTTCATGGAAGCCCAATATAGAAAATCAAAAATAAAATATTCTAATGATTGAAAAAAAAAGTATTTCGAAATTTCAATTTTGAAATATCCGAAATATCGCGATATCGATGGACAAACAAATATTACATTTTATTATTATCAATAAATTAACGAGTATCCAATGATTTATGGACGTGAGTGTACATTTTCGATGTAGGCGAATGTACGAGTCAGGAAACTACTATTTCTGAATCATCATTCGTGCCTCTTCTTTCTTTTCTTCCTTTTTTTTTTTTTTTCTTTTTTCCTCGATTTCGATCGTGACTCGAACACTGGGCAAAATCGTTGGCGGAATCCAAGGATTTCGTATCGCCATTGACGAATACTGGCGGGTGTGGGTGGAAGTGAAGAGATCCCGCGAATGATCGCGAGTCGAGGCACGCGCATGATCGTCATCTCGTGATTTCGATTTGTGGTATTCGAGTATCGTGTTTGATATAATAATAGTTTTTATAAATTATGAAGAATTGGCCATTAAAATTAATTTTGGCACGATACCTTTCGAATGAATTTAAATTTTAAGTGCACTCGAAAATTTGAAAATAAGAAATGTGACTATAGAAACGTGCAGTATGCTCAAGAATATTAAAAATGATCAGAAATGTAAACAAAATATAAAAATTCTATTTCTTTATTCAAAATTTTCCATATATTCGTATATTATTTAGTTTTTGAAAATATGGTATTTTATATTAAAATTATCATATATCATAGGATATTTTGATTAATTCTTATTCGAATGAAATATTATTCGAATAAGAACTTGACATAGGAATTTTTTGAAGATAAGTTCTTAAAAATATGAAAGAAATTGAATTTTAAGAATGTAATGTAAATATAATCATACGTGATGTTGTACAATCTGTACGATAATTCATATACACGATAAGTTAACTATAATGTTCTTTCTGTTTTATGACGAACAAATTCTTCAAGGCAACGTGACGAATCGTGGGTGTGTTTAATCGCATTAGTACCCAACCACTCTGTTCTATCATTATAATTCTTCGATATCTCTTACGTACAAGGTACGATATTATTTTAATTTGTAAATTTGCTAACGATATTTTTTTTACAAACAATCTTCACAAAGACAAAATAATAAATCGAGATGTATTAAATCATTAGATCATATAATAAAGTGCCTTGGATCTTGAAATTTTGTCTTGATATAAAACATGAAGTGATTGTATATTTATTATATTTTTTACTTAATTAAATCAAAATTATATTTCTCATGATACATGTAAATATAATATTTTGATATACATCTTGTTTTGCAAGTTAATCAATTCTATAATCAGAATACAAGATATTCAATAACAACATGATAAAGAATAACAAATCCATCTTAATATTCCCAATGTCGAAACGACTAATTAAAATAATAATTAAAGAATCTTATCATTTTCGTCTTTGGCGATAAGAGCTTGAATTAGTTTCAAAGAAGATGTTAGATTAAAAAAAAAAAAAAAGAAAAGAAAAACAAGAAAAAGAGGAAAAATAAAAATCTAGAAGACATGTGTCGTAAATTATTGTGACATTGCATTATAATTACACGTGCGAGTACGTACACGTGAAGTAAAATCGAAGGAAAAGAACGCGATTGCGTGATTCTCACGGTCGAAACGAGGAAGAGAAGGAAAATGAAACGTCTAGAATTGCTCGAGAACATTTTTTCCATCTCACGTAGCTTGTTTCTGGGAAGATCTTCTTACTTCTTGGTGTCATTCGCTTCCTATTGGCGAGAGGATGAAATGTTGTAATCTAGTTTTATAAAATGGGAATAAATGGAAATATTATTGAGATAATCGAGATTGAGGAATAATAATAATTGAGGATAATTGAGGAATAATTGAGGAATAATTGAGGAATCGAGAAATTATCGAGATAATTCATATGGTTTCTCGACATTTTGGTTGACATAACGAGATCTTGATATTGATGAAGATGTTCAAAATTTTTATGATTTTCGTGTGTATGAAACAACTCTTGCAAGAATATTTTTTTCATAATTTCTTTAAAGGTACTTTAGTCGAGTTAAAATAAAATATCCTG